TATTTATGTCAGAGAGAGGGAAACCGTGGAAGCATTTGGCAAATCAGGAGACACAACCATATAAGACTCAGACTGCTTTTTTATTTGTTTATTGCACAGTTCAAAAGGCTAAATTGTGTGATTTATATTCTTCCATAGTAATAAAAGTTAGCTGATACTATCCCAAAGACCCGAGGTGCAATTCAAAGCTGAGATGTGTAAAGATTTTCAAAGTAGGCTTCCTCTGCCTTCACTGGGCGCCATGTAACATAAATGGTAATAGGAAATGAACAAGGCATGGGTTAAATTAGGGTACAATCCTCAATACACACACATAGAACAATATTTTTAGGGTAAAACACTTCACTTGGACAGCCATACTTCTGTAAATGTATCGGGTTCAACGAATGATATAAAACATCTGCTGAGAGGATTTTTGCAGGAGAAAAATAGGAACTGCATTTCATCACAGAATAACCTTTACCATGTTAACCATCTTCCACAATAAAATCTGTTATTCCAGACTCATTCCAGGTTGGCATATGTATAACCTATTTTTAAAAACATCCATTTTAGATTCTCTAATTTCTCTCTGAAGAACATAGAGCCATACCATGTCTCTGTCATCTGCCAGTGTTTCTTCTTACTGAAGACTGCACAAAGTCTAGAAAAGCTGTGTGGTTGTTCATAGCTCACTGGCATAACATTGTGTGCTTTATATTTATCAATGAGTGTCTCAAAAGACAGGCAGTTTTCTACAAGTGCTGAAAAGCAAATCAGTCTAGCACCCTGCAGATTACTATACACACGACAATAGACATTGTTAGCATAATGTATTATAATGCATTATATAGTGGGTCTCTGAGGTTTAGTAATCCCTGTCAGCAACCAGAATAAATGGAAATAGCTTCCAGGAGATGCAAGGCCTATGAAAAGACTGTTATTTTTCAAGAACTAGAAGCATTCAGACTCACACATGCAGCCTTTGAAACAAAATCTCATGAACAATCTTTCATCACAATCATTTGTGAAAGTCAAATGCCGTAATTGTACTTGAAAGAATAAAGAGAAATTGAACTGAACACTAGCGTTCTGTACTTTCCCTATTGAAAAAAAAAATATTTGGTACATTCTCTTAGGCTTGGTGACAGCAGAAGTTTTTAATTTTAACTTTTGAATATGCTTAGACACTGAATTTGTTAGCTGAAAATAGCCAGAGCCAGGTTCCACATCAAAATAGGCACACCTCTTTGAGGAGAGTGTCTAAGCCACAAGTGAGAGTGTTTTTACTTACTTTTAATACACAACTGTATTGAAAAAAAAATCACTAATATTAGATAATAGAGCATAACCTGAATGGGATGACAGTGCACCAGGATTACTGAACTCCTGAAGCCTCAACTCTCCTGCAGACTGAGAAAGGCATCTCTTACACTATACTTGCCCTGCTTTTTATGTCCTTCCCTTCGGCAACTCCCGGTGACCTTTAGCAGGGAGACAGTACTAATCTAGCTGGAGCTTTGATCTGAGCTAGTACAGCTGCACTAGTTTTCTTATGGTGCTGTGAGTTGTTGACATATTTAGTAAGGTTTTTCAAATTTTACTGGTGTAGAACAATGAAAGGCACCATACCAAAACCCTTCAGATCATTTGAAATTACTAAAACATCTCCAGAAATGGTTAGGTTACTGTTGTAGATACTACAATTGATAATACATACTACTATCTTTATGCAGAACTGCTTATTCTTTGTAGCATTCCAGTCTGCTGTTTACACCTTCATTTCTTCCTGTATTTTTACATTAAAGCACTTATTGCTGGTCAGTTGAAGTTCTAGTTAAATGATCAAAGGCTTTATCAAAACTATTCTTTAGTATCTTGCTGCACTCATACCATAAGGCAACAGAAAATCAAATAAGCTCTGTTGCTAGAATTCTACAAGACAAATCCTTACTCCCAAAACACTGAAATGCTTTGTCCTCAGCAGAGTTGCCAGGTACTGCACTCAACAGCCAGCTGCAATTGCAGCCTGAAGTTGCAGTGACACTCTGCATGCACATTGCTTGCCTCTGCAGAAGCTTTCACTGTTTAGTCTTCATCTCTTGATTAGGTTAAATGAAGGTATAGCTGTAACTCTAACCAAGCCATTTATTCTATTTTTAACCTTGCAGATGTGCCCAGAAAGGCAAGTGAGGGGACAAAACAGTGTTAAATGAGGAGAAAGATAGGAAACATTCTATTGGTAAATCCACTTCCTAAAATCTTTTCTGATCTGAGCCACAGGAAATTTGCACTGCTTATTCCAGTAGAGCCAATCTCTAATTTAGTCTGTGCCACATTTTCCTGGACTACTGTTACCTTTTTCTCCAGTCTTCACTTTTTACCAAGGTAATGACAAACATTCTAAAGACCCGTCAGAATCACAAAAAAAGCTGACTTCATCCTATTTTCAGAATACGCCATCTGTAACAAAATCAGCAGCTGAAATACCTTCCTGCTTTGCATGTTTAGTGTTATTCTTTGCCTGAAGTAGAGCCTGGGTTTTTTCCACTACATTTTGCCTTTGAAATAGTAAAGTTGTAAGCACTCTAGGATTTAAATTGCAGAGGGCTTGAAAGGTGCAAAGCATTAATTTATTTCCCTGAGGCTTTGTTCCCTGTGGGCATTAAGAATATCATCTCATAAGATGATGGAGAGGGCTCTCTTAGCAAAATTACAACCAAAAAGATGGAAGGATGCTGAGACAGAAATAGAAGGTCCTTCTGCTGCCGTGCCTCACCTCCTCAAACTGTTTATTCTTGAGCTTAGCAGTCTTTACCCACCAGCTGCTGTAGAAGTGCACTTTGAAGCCATTTACCAGCACAACTCTGCTGCTCGGGGGTGGGGAAGGCTGCAGTTCGCAGCAGCTGAGGAGGAATGGGCGCATACCTCCTGGGTTTAAGTCATTATCCCTGACTGGCAAACTGACCTTACTCCTGTGGGAGCTGGGGGGCGATTGAGGCTGTTCTTATTAGGGTCAGAAGGAAACCTTTAGAGAGCAGAATTGAGTACAGTGTCTTTGGTCACTCATTTGCTTGCCTGTCTAACCATGTTCAACACTTTTTCCAAGTGGCTGTTGAAGAGGGAAAGACTGTTCTGTTTGCCTTTTACTGGCAGTGGGCAGGCTCTGCTGTTAGCATACATGTGTGGAATCTGGCAGCAGCAGCAGCTATACTACTCACTAGGACACTAAATGGCATTGTGAAGTGCAAGCAGTGTAAAGGTCCTTCTTTCATGGAAACAGCAAATTATAAATGAAGAGTGGGCATCTTTATATCTTACTTTATTTATTGGACTTTGAAGAAAGATTTGACAAAATATTCCCTGTATGACTGCTTTGTGGTTCATTTGCAGTGAGAGTACAAATGACTGCAGTCTGCCTAAGAGTGTCTCCAGCAATGAAAAAATTCTCTCTGTTGTTGTACAGTTACTTTTTAATAACTGAATGCTCAACCACACAACCCCCTCTGCTCTAGATTGTCCTCTCTGCTTCAGTCATACCCCGTACAAGTAGATTGCACCAGAAGTGCTCAGTTCTTTTGTCTTCTTCCCTTCCTCCACTTGGTGTTCTCTGTAGACCTGATGGAGATACACTGCCAGACAGCATCAAATTAGTCAAGTAAAAGGTGCAATTGTAACAAATAAATAGTAGTTCCTACCCTAAGAAGTGGAGAAGAAAACTGAAGATGCAGGAATGTGAAATGTTTTGTTCAGCATACAGAGGGTTGGAACACAGGACCTCCCAAAGGCCACTCAGTGACAGACCTTGGGAAGCTTTTGCTGTCTGGGTGCTTGGAGGCAAAACAGAAAGGACAATTTCTGACACCCTACCAAAGAATAAGAGTGAAATCTCAAGTGTCTTAGAGGTGGTAGGTCTTCAAAGACTAGTTTGAAAAGCTATCTGAACATGTAGGGGTGTGACAGCTGGATAAAAAGAAAAGACCTAGCTGCTATGATACTAGGTGGTAGGCTAAATTATAACAGTTGTTACAGAGTCTTACAGACTCTATTGTACAGCCAATGTGCATAATTTACAGGGTACACAGATTTGTAACCTGGCAAGAGGAGTGTCAGAGCATTTAAGGTCCTCAGTCTTGCACCATTCAGTCAGCTCACTTCCTTAATATTCACTTTACAATAAATAACAATATAAGAATAACAAGAATAATTGTTACAAGAATAACAATAAGAAGTCGGTTTTTTAAATCACAAAATCAAATTAAATAACCAAGTAGTTATACTTGAAGGTGCACTTTCTTATAGGGAAAGTCCTGTGAGGACTGTCAGGACTGTTCTTCAGTGCCTGCATTGAACTGAATCCAGACCTGCAGCTGCCAACAGCCCCTTCAGCCTCAGGACTGACCAAAACTACTGTACTACCACTGCATCAATTGTCATGGGTTTTTCATGGAAGTCTTCCTTTCCTGTACAGACTAAATGGCACACAGACTTAATGGATGAAAACACCACGTCTGCAGGACTGTGCTTTTCCTTACTATCAGACTTACTGCATACCAGCATATCAGTACTCTTTGCAGCAGCAAATTTAAACCCCTAGTCTTAGATTCAGGTCAGATCTCTGGGTCTTGGAGGATTTCAGATCTTTAGTTAATAAAAAAATTGATAATGTTTAGAAGTGTAAGTGTTTTAACCAGATCAAGTGCTGTAGAAATCTGGTGTTTTACCATTTGTGTAACAACAGACCATTCAAGTACAACCACTTGCAGAAACCTAAATAAATGTTCTTTCTTTGTGCATCACGCTTGGTATGTGAGGAAAATTAAGAGTAGTAATGGCTTCTGAAGTTATCTTACATACATGTGTATTTGAATGCAAGCTAAATCTAAATGTATAGTATGTCTATTTACAATTAGTAGAGTTATCTACTCCTCAGTAAACAAATATTTTAACCCAGGAGGGCCTACCTTTTCTAGTGCTTCCCTTCTGAAATATAAACGTTTTTAAAATTTTGTTCTTTCTAGCTCTGTTTTGTGATGTTTTGGACGCCAAACGTGTCAGAGAAGATTTTAGTTGACATAATTGGAGTAGACTTCGCTTTTGCAGAGCTCTGTGTCGTTCCTTTGCGCATCTTCTCCTTTTTTCCACTTCCAGGTAAAAAAATAAAAGAAAAACAAAAGTTCTGTAACCTCAGTGGCTCTTTCAGAGCATAAGCTTTATGTAATATAATACTTCTATCAAAGAGCAAGACAAGCTGGACAGCAATAACCAAAATGTTTCAAATTTCTAGCTCTGTAATTAAGTGGTGTAACAGCCCTGCAACATCTTTTAGTATTTTCTGTTTATATGACAACACAGTTTCATAATAACGGTAAACTACAGATATGTGCTTGACTGTTACACCATGTGCCACACAGGAGCCGGATGGAAAATTTTCCATGGTATGACTTCTCTTTAAGGAAGGAGAGAGTTTGGGGGTTTTTTAATGAAGGAAACAGAATGGATTCTCTAATAAATTGGTTTTAAGAGAGCAGCTCGTAGGAACAAATGCTGTCCATAATTTTTTGTTTCCTCATTTTCTCAAATCAGTGTATCAAAGCAATTTGAACATAAGATCTACTTCCTTTCTAGTAGGGTGCAAAGTTACCAGCAGTAAGTTTCACAATGGTTATTTCTGAACAGTTCTCTCTGCATGGGAAAGCTGCATATGAGATGACTGATTTTTTTTTTTTTACTATTATGCCTCTTTTTCTTGTTCATGAACAGTGACTGTCAGAGCACACTTGACTGGTTGGCTGATGACTCTGAAGAAGACATTTGTGTTGGCACCCAGCTCAGTGCTGCGGATTATTGTCCTCATCACCAGTCTCATCGTGCTGCCTTACTTAGGGTAAATCGTTATTCCTAACAGAACCCATGGGTTTGCTTTCCTCTTCATTCCTCTTCCCTGTCACTTGATAGCTGAATTTGCATAGCTCAGAACATTTTCTCCAAATACTAACCATGATACAAAGCCTAAATAGTGTCACTATCTGGAAAAGAAGCATTTACAAATTTACAAGCGTGACTCTCTAGACAGGCACAATAGTGATGTCCCTTTGGAAAAAATACACAAATGTCAAAGAGGCAAAAATGTGTCCTAAGGGGAATTTATTTCCATATTATTAAACACACTGTTAAGAAAGCTAATTGAAGAATATCTTGTTTATAAGTTTAATAATCTATTCTACAGCACTCTGACAAGTACAAAGTACAAGATTTTAAATTCTTAGTCCATAATTTGATTTTAGTAAACAGTGTATCCATAAAAAAAAAAAAAAAAACGAGTCCTTTAAAATACCAGTTATTGTCTTAGGCAGTGTATTGTGTCTTTGAAGAAAATATTTCTAGCAGCAGATTGGTTATATATGCCAGTGATAATGTAACCATGAATCATGCATTCTCACACAACAATGACTGCTTTCTTTCTATACCTCCCAACAGAGTTCATGGAGCCACTCTTGGAGTAGGATCCCTTCTTGCTGGTTTTGTAGGAGAATCCACCATGGTTGCAATAGCAGCCTGTTACGTCTATAGGAAACAGGTAAGAATTAGTCTCTGTGGGATCTGGTGATGAATATAGTGGATTTTAGTTCAGATTAAGTTGCACTCTAGCAATGTAACTCCTTAGAATCCTCACTTCTATTTGCTTCCTTGTTAAGTCTCAGGAGAGTGCATCTTGAAAAGTCTTTGGTTCGAAATAGCACCAAAAAGTGTCCTCCAGCTGCTAATGGGCATCCAGGCCATGGGACATGCTGGTCTGCAGTCAGAGAGCTTCTTGCTTCTCAAAACACGTGTATCATGGATATCCTGTCCTTACCACCAGCAGTTTTGTGCTGTATTTTGTTACTACAGTACAACATAGCATCTTTATGTAGGCATGGGAGCTACTCATCTGAGCTTACAGTATGTGTATCTATATGTAAATAGAATCACAGAGTGATAGAACAGTTTGGGTTGGAAGAAACCTTAAAGATACAAGGAGTTCCCTCCCATGGAAGGTGTTATGTAGTGTTACATAATGTATACATTTATATCTGTATGTATACACTATGTAGTACATATATCTCTGCATATAGACTTTTATTTCTGTATAAAACCAGAAAATACTTTTATTTCTGTATAAAACCATAAGGACCTGTACTTTTTGTTGATTCTCTGCTGAACACTAGAAGAGTGGCTTAAAACAAGACATACTGCTGCAGCAGTTGACAGTAAGAGCTTATATAATTAAACAGGTGCTTTTTTATATATTTTAAACACTACAGTCCTGCATGTGTGGAGTAGTACTGATACATGGATGCTGAAGAAGATACCACTAAATTAAATCAAACAGGGGATAAATATTGGCTGGGTGACTGAGTACATTGCAGTACCTACATGTTGTTCCCTTCCAGTTATGTGTTTAAGATACAGTGTAGGGCACTAGGTCCAACTCCAAGCAGAACCAGCAAGGTGTCTACATCATTCTGTAGTACAGACGACTTAGACTTGTTACTGAGTGCCAAGGGGAAATACCCACCACTTTTATTTTTGGGAAAAAAAAACAAAAAACTACAGAAGATGGAATATCTAAAAGCCTTATATTGGAACAACCTAAAATCAGTTTTGATATGTGTTGACATGACAGTGCAGGCCGTGGCAAGAGATCAAAGTGTACAAGGTTCATAAGACAATAGAAGCACCATAATCTCTGTCGTGATTAATTTGTCATGTTTGCCTTGAGAACCAAAGAATAACACTTTTAGACACTGAAATGTCTTGTCTTGACCTGTGGTTTCACAACATCCTCATTGCTAGTTTGTTACCGTAGTAGCTCACGGAGTCTTTCTGGCCAGGGACATCGTGCTTAATTTTTTTCAGTGATGAGTGCAGGCAGTAGGATCAATAACTGTGCCAACCTAATTTATTCTTTATTCAGTGTGAAAGTGGCAGAGCCAACAAGTAGTGCTAAACACCAAGTTGTTCTCACCTGAGGCTGAAGAGCTGCAGATCAAATGTTGTGTAGATACCTCTGAAATTTTGGAACTCTGATACACCCATCTCGGCTGAGTCAGTAATACCTGTGGGGGATATTTTGTCAGCTGTACAATTATTTTCAGTAAAACTAGTCAGCCTGCTGAGAAATGGGTAATAAGGAACAGATGCTTCAACTTGTTTTGCAGGGGGCTGAACTCTTCTTAGCTTTACTAATCCAGGACATCCTGGATGAATCATAGGACTCTTGAATGACCTCCTGCTCCTGCTAGCCAAAAATACTCTAATATTACTTGGCCTTGGTGAGGCAAGGGATCACAGTGGATCAGCAACATTAAGAAAGGCCAGAATGCTCACATCTTGTAAAATTCCTGAAGTTTGACCTTTGAGAAATTAGGTTGCCACCTCACCTCCCTCCCTAGAGAAGCTTTTATTCTCTCACATTTTGTTTTCCTTCCTTTTTTTTTTTTAATAAAAAGTCTGTGATGTAAAAGATTCCAGATGCTCTCTTCCCTCCAGTCATGGTGAAGCCTGTTTTGGATGTTGCTTAGCATAAGAAATGCCTGATTGCATTTATGTTAGAAAGGAGAAAACTGAGCCCCAGAAAGGGTATGGAAATCTCCTAAGTTAAGCCAAGTTATTAGTGGCAAGCCACAGATATGGCAAAAATATTCTAGTTTTTAATAACATACTCTAAACAAACCATATTGTCACCTCGCTTCTCCCAGTGTCCAAAGTTAGTGGGAGTGTGTTCATGCACAACTTACTGATAGGTTTCTGGATGCTTGTTTCAATCTAGAAAAAGAAGAGGAATGAGAATGAGACAGCTGCAGAAGGTGAAGACTCTGCCATGACCGACATGCCTCACACGGAGGAAATGACAGACATCGTAGAAATGAGAGAAGAGAATGAATAATAAATGGGATGCAATTGTTCTCTGCAGGGACGATTGGAGTGACGCTTCAGCATCTTGTCGTCTCTCATACTTTTTTGTTTGTTCGTTTTTATTTTTGTAATAAAGAGGCCTTGATTTAAAAGGTTTCAGATAAATTCTCTAGCATACTGAGTATGCTCTCACTGATGAGGGACCTAAAAAGAGGTCTTTGCTTCTTTTTTCTTTTTTTTGTTTTTTTCCCAATTGAATTTTTTTTTTTCACTCCATGCAAGCATAAAAGATACAATTGCATCACTGTAGAGTCTTCCTTACTTATGCATCCACCTTCTCTGGACAATCTGCATTTGTCAACCAAAGCCCTGCTCCTGCGCGCCTGTGTGTGTGTGCGGACCCGCGCTCGCACACCGCCACGTGCCACTGGCTCAGTGCTACTGCCATAACCCCACTCCCTCCCCTCTCTCCTTCTCCTTCCTTTTCTTTATGAGAAATGGAAAAGAAGTTTGGAATACAGAGCTTTATTTTACTTGCTTAAAAATGACTTTGCTACATAAACTAATATACTATGGTGAACTTTATCTTTTTGTTTGGCCTCATCACTAGAGCTTATACTGCACAGGGTACAAGACAGGGAGGAATGTGGGAGTCTCCTCATAAAAAGTGGAGAAAAACAGGTTCCTCTCATGTTGAAAGTGTGTGGATGTGTATATACACACACAGGTACATGAACAGAGACTTACATATATATATATTTATATATATATATATGCATATGATAAGTAAAATACACACAGGACAAGAACTCTATTTAGCTTTCATTCCATCAGAAAGATAGTAATCTTTTGAAAAATATAAACATTTAATTCAGAATTTTCTTGAATCATTAAGTCCCACCTTACATATAATTTTCTTTAGAAAAAAAATCATGCACTTTCCTCTTGTGAAGAGGGTGATGGCAACTGATAGACTTTGACTGTATTTGAATAAAACAAAAATAAATATTGACAAGCTTTACCAAAGTTCTTGTCCACTGATCTAACTTTAATTTTTAAAGGTTGATTTGTTCTCTATAATTATTTCTGGTGCCTCTATATTGAAAAAGAACAAGATCAGATGATGTATGCAGGATACCATTCTAGATAACATTACTACGCATAGTTCCATGGAATTTTTTATATAGAGATGTACACACACTCGTGTGTGTGCATGTGTACAGATCCTTCTATACACATGCACACACACAAACACACACAAAAATGTATGTTTTGCTATGATGTATTTACCTATGCAGTAGATCAAAATCCATATGGTGAAGCTCAAGTACTGATGGTCCTCCAAGCTGAAAATGAGGGATTTTGATGGATCTGTTGGCTCTCAGGGCAGCGTTGTGTGGGAGCAAGGAGCCGTTCACATCAGCCTGTGGAGCTGTGTGCTCCGTGTGAATGTGGCTGGAGTGCACCTTAAATAACAGCGTGAGGTCGGGTGGGAGACTCAGGTTGGGTGGAAAAGAAGCCTGTGTAAGGGGTGAGGGAAGCAGGGAGGTTTTGGGTGCCGCTGATGCTGCTGTGGCAGCAGCTTGTGTTTTTGTGCTCTTCTGTGTTTGGCTGCGGGGCAGCGCTTGTGACCGGTCTGTAGTAGCTTGGGTCCTTTCAGATTTAATCATGTCAGAGTCTGGAAACCGTTATCCTCCATCCTATATCCATAAATCAGTTAATTTAAACCTTATTTAGTAAAAGTATATTTTTCTAAGTTGTGGAAATTATTATTTAATTGTGGACAAATTCTGTTTCTAGATTTATTTGCCAGGTAGTCCCAGCAGTCAGAGAACTGATCAAAACTAAACATTACTTTAAATGTTGTATCAGTATATGTGTATGTAGACATACACGTGTATAAATATATATATATTGTATATTATGTACATTTATTTTAAACTACAATACATTTCCTATTTTTCCAAGCTCAGCTAAAAATGTCTCTACAAAACTACTGAGTTGACTAGTAACCAGTTATGGCCATCATGAAAGGCATTGTATCAATGAACTTTACATTTTATTGGAAAGATTTGTACCAATTTGTTACATTTCAAATACAATAAGAAAAAAAATTAGAAATTACTGTGTTAACTTATAGATTTGCAAAATCAGTTTACAGTTAATGAGCAGTGGCATTAGAAGGGTAAGACTAAAACCACGTTTGCTGTGTCACCACAGGGTAAATACTTTTTGACAGTAGTTTAAAAGAAATTCTTTTTTAAAAACCCTCAGACAAATTAATGTGTGCAGGATGTAGACTGCACACATGAATACAGGTCATATGTATATAATGTGTATATAGACAGTTACAGATCACAGTGGCCATTTGAGGTCTCCTCTATTCATGTAGTTTTGGTTTCTCCAGTACATTTGTCTCCAAGTCCACAAGATGCAGTTTTTCAGGAACTGTAGAGATGAAGCAGGAAAATATTTTTGTGTAATATTTCTTTTGATACATGACTAAAATTCAAACAGCAGTATTTTGGAAGAATTTTGAGCATTACCAGTGTTTTCAAGGTAATGATTGCACCCAAAAATAAACATCTGAAAACAACTGGTAACTCTAAGGCTTGTACTTTAGATAAAAGATAAACAAATATTAAAAAAATTAATTGGTCATACAGAGCTAAACAAATGGCACTGTAAAAGATAAATTTTCAGTTGTGTGTGTAATACTTCCTAGTCCTTTACTTTGCAAGATACTGAATGAGCACAGGAGTGATGGGATTAGGGCAAGAATTGAAGCAGTGACATAAGGACATGTGCATTGCATCTCTTTCTGCTTCCTGCAGGTCATGTATTTCTTTACATTGCTGGATTGACAAATCTGCAGGGAGGGGGTCCCAGCCAGCCAGGCAGGGTGCTCATCCAGGAGCGAGCTCTCCTCTGTCCCTTCCAGACACTGGGCCTGCTACTGGGACTGCTGGCAGGAGCTTCAGCAGCCTCCTGAAACCTCACTGCTCCGTTTCAGTGGAAAATTGAGCTGGGCTGGTGGAGCAGTCAGTGTGATGGGCTACAGGCTGGGAGGGGACAGACATATTTTGTGGCCAAAGCCCCAGTCAGAGCATCACCCACCGATAGTGTGAGGTCTTGTCAGGTAGATGCTGGTACGTGCCCTGTCCTGCACTTCTTCCTTTCCAAAAGTGCTTCCTTGAGTTCTAGTAAAATGGCTTAGCTGTGTCTCTCTTGTGCCGTTGCTTATGAAGTGGCTATCTCTCTCTGTGGTAATTATTTTGCAATAGAAACCCATCCTGTTTCTGTATCGGAGAGCTGCAGCACCATCATCTCAACGAATTCATGTGGAGACCTGGCATTTCCAAGACTGAATTACACAATCGAAGTTAGAATAAAAAGAGAAAGAAAATTGATCTGCATCTTACGTCTTGTATTGCAGAGCAGCTCACATAGTGGAAAATAAGAGCAGAACACCCATAAGCTGTGGATTAATGTTCCTCGGCTTTTAATAAGTACATAAAGATATGTTAATGTGTCTTGAGCTTTCCTTTTTCAGAACTAAGAGAAAACACAGCAGTTTTCCCCCTCACTGCCCTGAGCAGGCTGTCACGCTCACCAAGCACGGGACTCGATGGACAGAGCTCTGCGTTTCCCAGGCAGTGCCCGCAGCCCTGCGGGTGCAGCGGCGTTCCCAGGCGCGGGGCACTCCCGCTCCCCATCCCCTCTGGCACCGCCGCTCCGGGCAGGAGGGCTCAGATCCCTGCTTGTTTAGATAGAGCCGCCCTAAGTCAGAGGATTGGGTAAGTAACAGAGAAGTCTTTTTGTTTCCTGCTCATTCTGCTGCTAAATATTTCCTTTGAGCAGGAGATTTATATCTGGCTCTTGCTCGGTGTTTGCCGAATCTGCAGCCAGAGAGAAGCAGCCCCAGACGGAGGGCTGGCTGATGAATGCAGCTGATTCAGGGCGGGCCACGGCCCACGAACAGAAACCTTTTGAAGGCAGGAGCGCCTTCTTTTGTGGGATGGCGCCTCGGGCTCAAAAAGAAGGGAGAAAGGATGCTTTCAGACGCGGGCAGCCGGAGGCGTCGGGCAGGGTTTTGTGTTGGGCTGCAAGGTGGCAAGGGGAGGGAGCATCCTGCAGTTTCAGCATCCCAGCCCCCATGCTGCTGGAGTGCAGGACAGTGCGGGAATGGCAGGATGGGCTCCGCCTCTCGCCCAGGTCGTGTGGTTGTGGCATGGCTGGCAGAGCCTGGAGTGCAGCTGGTTGTTACATAGAGAGTGGCAGCAACCCTTGGAAAGCCATGCACACGTGTACGGGGTGTGTATAGGAGAGTGTTGAGCAGGCAAGTTTGTTGTGGCCTTTGAATAGTCCCTTGGAACAAGGGTTCAAGTCTAAACATGATCTCAGTGTGGGACTAATACTAAGCCATTTTTAAAAATTGCAATTTAAGCTACAAAAAAGTGTCAATGAAGCAGCAGACCCTATACCATTAAGCTAAAACATGACTTAGATTAGTGGGCTGGGAGAGAAAGAGGACATGTTGAAAATCTTACAGATATTGTATATCCCTCCTGAAAACAGCAGCATGGTGTGGAGGTGAGGGAAACAGAGGGCAGAAAACACCATTTCCCCTTCATCTGCCCTGGAAAGGGACTGAAGGATGAGGAGCAGTGTGTCCATATAACATCACTTCTAAGAATGTTGGTTTCCCAGTAGAGGAGCCTTCAGAGGCAGGAGTGTGAAACATCTTTGGCAATGATTCAAGCAGAAATAAACCAGTGTGCAGGTTTTATAATGTGCAGTAAGGAGGCATGATGTGTCTTCCAGTTTCTGAGTAGCTGACAGGGCTGCACTGGGGAAATGCCACTTAAGTATTAATTAAACATGACAAAATTATCACTATTTTAGTAGTAAATTGGCATGTTCCAAATACCAGCTTAACCATAAAATATTAGGATTCCCTTCCCTCGTTCATGTTTGGCTTTCTACTAGAGTACAGCAAACCATCTATTTTGAAGGGAATAAGGTCCTGTGGAAGGGTTGCAGTGCAGAACAGGGTGTGGAGGCTTGTGGTAGAGTCCCAGTTAGAAAGAGGAGCTCTGAATTTATTCTGTGCCCTGCAGCACACTGTATAGCAGCCTGGCAGCATGGTGAAACGAGGCGGAATTGTCAGCTTAGCAGCAAACTGCAGCAGCCCTGCAGAGCAGTGGGAAGGCTTGGGATGCAGGGTAGCCCTGGCTCCAAGCTCGGGCTCCGGCAGCTTCTGTGGATTTGCTTTGGAGAGCCAAGTTCAATTGTCAGTGCATAGATGCAATCCTCAGCAAAACCACTGCCAGACTTCTCAGTAATTGGCACCTTCTGAACAAAAAGGCTAAAGACAAAATACGGGGGCAGAGAGATCGAGCTTTAGGCTCAGCTTCGAGCACAGACTTGCACAGAAGGGCATTTTGGCTGCAGCTCTTGCAAATTAATTGTAGGGTTAGAGAGTAAGCTTCAGTCGCAGCATTTCATAACCATGACATCCAATCCATCTCAGTAAAACAGAAGAATGGCAGTATATTTCTAGGTGCTCTTTTGTCTGTAATCCTGAGGGGAAACTTTTCCTTAGTTTTACCAAACCTTGTCACTGCTCAAATCAGTTTATTACTTTTACCTCATTATTTTCTGTCATTCCGAGTTCAGTGTCTTCAGACATTTCCTCATTTTCTTCTGAAGGTTCCTGCTAGGCTTATTTTGTCTGTTGGCATTTTGAGAAGGAAAATGTAATCATCATGCTGACTGAATGTCAACTAACGGTGTGATTAAAAAGTAGCTTACAACAAAACTCTTCTTTGATGGACTGTTCTTTACTTCACATTTGCTAAGCTGAAAAGGAGAGTCAAGAATTAGAAGGAATTGGGGGGGCGCATCTTTATCTAAAATCAAGAATTAAATTAGTTAATTCAAGTTAATTTCTTAAGTCTAGCCACCGTGTGACTTAGCAGTGAAAACCTTTACCCAGACTTTTCCAGCAAAGTTAGTGCACTCCA